CTGTCCGCTGTGGCGAAGCCCCCAGCAAGCTGGCGCTTGTTTAACACTATGGAATGAAGTTCCTGAGGAAAATTGGCCATTTCTCCTCAAAATATTGGCGATGTCAGTCATGGGGGCTGGCGACGCGCTGGCGATGTCGCCCCGCCGCCTGCCCTCATTTAGCCAGCTCTGGCTGGCGATGGCCTTCGGCCAATCGCCAGCCAGAGCCGTTTTTTGGCCCGATTTCGCCAGCATTTGGCGATTTCGCCAGCTTTCAGAAACACTGGCCAGCAGGGCCGCGCATGCCCGCTGGCAGCAGCACTGAGTCCATCCCAGGCCGCGGAAGTGAGGGCAGGCAGCTAGACTTGGGGGGTCGCCGGGGGGTGCCAAGTGTGTGCATGAGGCTGGAACGGTGAACAGCTGCGGGGCGGGCCAGGGGGCAGCGCATGTCAAGGGCAGCACCCGCTGCTGCCTTTGAAGGCTGCCTGTCCCAAGACCCAGGGGAAGCGCACGCATGCCGGGGCTGCTCACGCTCGGTACGCTGCCAGGAGCGCAGGGCGTCTGCCTGCCTCCAGGCGGCAAGTGCTGCCCCTTCCCTGGCCGCTCACCATGACGGCGAATGCCTGTGTGGTCAGGACGAAGCGGTACACAAAGGGGATGGCGCTGTACACCGCCTGAACGCACCAGGGAGGAGCTGTGCTGGGGGCACCCTACAGGTCAGGCACCCCACACACGCAAGCCAAATGTCCTCACCGCCCTTGTGCATGTGCATGCTGCAGGCACATGCATGCCCGGTAGGTCCCCGCACCTGCATCCCCATGTAGAACGCCTGCGGCAATCAAGGGGGACGGGTGTGAGTGTCTGGGGTGGTGATGGAAGGGGTGCTCTGTGGAAGGGATGCTCTAGCAGTGTGCCTACCCACCCCACCCCACCCGCCTTGCTCACCCCCAGCAACGGCATGCACTGGAGCACGCGGCACTGCGCGGAGAGCGGGACCAGTGTCGAAAGGGTGCCGGTGTGGAGGCTGGCGAGGGCGTACGCTCCAGCCAAGTTGGCCATCATCTGAGACGAACACGTCATCAACGCATGGTGCCTGCGCGGCGAGGAGGCGTGGTGTGGGGCGTCAGACACACACTTCCACTTGTTTTTTGCTTTTGTTATATTACTAATGTCAACACAACACAAGCACGGCGCCGGCCAGCCGAAGCAGCCAGCCGGCGGGTAGAGCGCTCATGTGCTCACCGGCGGTAGAAGGACCAGTGCGTGAGCATGACAGCGATGCGCGCCGCGGGCGGCACGATGGCCAGCAAGACCAGCTTGGCGCCAAACAGCCAGCTGTTGGATGCCAGCAGGCGGGCCACCATGGCCAGCCAGATCAGCAGCTGCATGGGCGGCAGGCGGCAGGCGAGGGGATCAGCAGCTGTACGGCGCCAGGCCGGCATGATGCGCTTGTGCGGCGTGGCCGGCGAGGGAGGCGCACCATCAGGGCCTGGAGCAGGAGCTCGTCCATCTTGGTGCGGTCGGCCAGGTCGCCCTGGAAAGAGCGCTCCAGGGCGGCATCTGCAAGGGGAATGGAAGGGCAGCACGGTTGGAAGCTGCCCTGCGCCGGGCGGTGCTGCTCCGCGCCGGCGGCCGCAGTCCCGGCACCCGACTCGCAGCTGCTCCCCATCCTACCCCACGCTGCCCAATAGTGGGCAGAACTATTCTGCCCACGGTGCCCCGACACGCTCCGCGGGCCCCAACCCTGCGCCTCTTGCCTGCAAACCAGAGGTGCTGCGCCAGCTGCACCGTAAGCGGGGTGGCGGGCTGCTGCCTGTTTTCTTGAGGTCTATGCAGCGTCGCCATGGCGCTGGGCTCCGCTACAGGCCTGCTTGAGACCGGAACCAGCCGGCGCTCTGCTGCGGGTATCCTATCCCTCTTCCCATTTGTGAGCAGCAGGGGAAGGCGGGGAGTGATATATGGCGTGAGCTGGCTGGCCAGCCGGAGTGGCTGCCTGTGCACCAGCTACCCCCACGACCCTTTCTACGCTCACCATCGATCATTTTTAGGTTTCAATGGATGTGAGTGGCCCAGGAGGGTCTACAAGTACTCCAGTCGTGCATGGAGATGGGTCCAAGCACCGTCTCCAGGGCCTGCTGGCCAGACAGGTCTGTAGACTCCTCTGGTTGAACAAAATTTACGACCCGATCTTTGGTGCATGGAGCGCCCATGGGCAGCAGCAATGTGCCAGCGACACGCCAGGGGCAGCCCGCCGCCCACTTTTCCGCCTGTCGCCAGCTGCGCCGCGCCGCTCCAGCGCTGGGCGGTGCGGCAAGATCACGCAGAAATACTCTTCGCAAGTTATCTCACTTTCCCTACACTCATTGGGCGAGCCTGTTTGAACACAGGTGCTGCACTCAGGGCACAAGTGCCGGCTCTGGTAGCTTGTTTATCCCTGCCTGCCCCGAGACATTTGGGACACGGTTGGACTGAGGCTGCTGCCCCGATCACCGCCCCCCGATCGGTGCTAAGGGATACACTCCAACTCGAGAGCTCGCTAGCGCCCCTTGTCGCACTAGAGAGCCAGCAGGCAGCAAGGACCCTGGAGCAACGCCGCCTAGGCTCGCGGTGCAGAGGTAGCCCGCGGCGTGTCAGCGGCGACAACTAGCGCAGGCGCCTGCCCGCCACAGGATGCGGTCGCCGTGGCAGTATTTGCGCGGCTGGTTTGCGCGGGTGGGCAGCGACCCCTACTACGCCTCCTATGATCGCTCGCTGGGCAATATCAAGGCAGAGCTAGACCGCATCCAGGTGCGAGGGGTGGTGGTGGCAGGCGGCGGCAGCTCGTCGCTGTGGCTTGGCCCCGCTCGTTGCAGCGAGCTGCGCCCCAGGCCTGCCCCTGTTGTGCATCCAAAAGCGCGCGGGCTACTACCAGCCCTTGCCCCGCCACCCGCGCGCTGCAGGCGGCACGCGCCGCGCGGCACAAGGCCTGGGCCGCCATCCGCGCCCGCTTCCTGGGCGGCTTTGCCGCCGCTTATGCCGCGGTGCTGGCGTATGCCGCTTACGTCAACCACCAGCCGCCGGGCACCTACCGCCCCGCGCAGCAGGCCGCGCGCGTGGCGCCCGCCTTCCTGGCGCCGCCGCTGGGCTGGGCCGCCCACCGCCTGCTGGGCTGGCTGCAAGCAGCGCTGGACGCTCGCGCCGCCCGCCGCGTGCGGCAGCTGGACGGCAAGCTGCGCAAGCAGGTGCGGGGAAGGCGGCGCTGCAGGGGTGCAGTGCAGTGCAGCGCGAGGAGGGGGCGGGCATGCGGCACGGGCATGCAGCATTGTCGCCGACGGGCGGCGCTGCTTTTTGGTGTGCCGGCACGTGCCTTCCGCCAGTACCAGCACAAGTGTATGCTGCACGGTGTCGCTTCGTTTGCAAGCTCCCCCGCAAGCCATGTGACCCCACATCGCACCACACACCCATGCAAGCTGCGGTGGTCACGTGCTGTTTGGCCCGCCGCCCCTGCCACCGCCGGCAGGTGTCTGAGCTCAAGGACTCCACCCGCTACCAGCGCACCCTGGCGCTGCTGCAAAAGTACGACCCAGGTATGGCGGCGGCCGGCGCGGGGGCCTCCTGCACAAGGGAGGCCGGGCAAGTGCATACTGGTCTGGCGCTGTGCCTGGCCGGGCAGCGAGCCCAACATCTGCTGTTGGCCCTTGGCCCCTGCCTCACCACCCTTGTAGACTATGTGCCGCCCAAGCTGGAGCGCACGCCCTCGGCACGTGGCGGCCGCCAGCCGCTTGGCGCCAGGGCGCCTGCCGGTGGTGGCGGGGCGGGGCGCGCGGCGGGGGCCGCCGTCAACGCGGCGGGCTCAGCCCTGCAGGGTGCCGGCTCCCTGTTCCCCGCCCTGGCTCAGCTGTACAGCCGCGCCGCCGACACGCTGATAGGTGGGAGCGGCAGAGCTGCCGAGCGTGCACTGGCTTGCGTTGTGCACACTGCCGCGCATGCGAATTCGCCAATCCCGCGCTGCACCAGGCATCATCCTACCTGCCTTTGCCTGCGCCATCCTGCCTGCTGTCTTGCCTGTGTTCCTGTAGCCGACGACCCCGTCACGCTGGGCCTCCTGCGAGAGGCACAGCAGCAGTCGGACCTGCTGCGCCAGCGCCTGATGGCGGCCGAGGGGCGCTCGGTCGCCCTCCTGCGAGAGAACATCGCGCTGAAGCAGCAGCTGGGGCAGCCGGCAGAGGAGGAGCAGGCGGCGCTGGCTGCTTGGACGGCGGGCGGCGGCGGCGGCCCTGGCGCTGTAGCGGCACACCATGATGCACCTGCTGGGGCGGCTGAGGCCAGGCAGCTGGAGGGGCCGGCGGCGGACGAGGGTGCTGCAGAGCCCCAGGAGGCAGCTGAGGAGGAAGAGGCATGCCTGGAGCCTGGTGCTGCTGCGCCGGCAGCTGCGGGCGCGGCAAGCGGCAGCCCCGGCAGAGTCAGCCGCAGGCGGCGCGGCAGCAGCAGCGGGTCGTGAAGCGCTCTGCTCGCCAGGTCGCTGTCTGAGCTGTTGCCGCCACGCATGCCAACCGTTACAACATGCAACAATGAGCAGGCGCTCAGGTGTAAATGCGCTTGCAATGCCACGAGTGCCGGGCCACACCGCGGCCTCGACTAGCGGCCGTGCGATTCCCGCCGCCACCGCTGCTGCTGCTGGGGGTCGGCTGCGCCGCTGCGCCGCCGCTGCGTGCGCTCCTCCACCAGCTTCGTGGCAACTTCCACCAGTACCTTGCGCATGGCCTGGTCGGCATTGCGCCGCGTGAGCAGCAGCTGGCGCACCGCGGCCCCCACGTTGGCCGGCGGCGGCGGGCCGTGCACCCGCGGCAGCGGCTGCCGCGTGCTGCGCAGCAAGCTCTGCTGCCTGCTGACCTGGCGCTGCAGCTCGGCGGCGGCGCTGCCGGGCTGGCTGCTGTGCCGCAGCCAATCCTCTGCCCCCAGCTGGGTGTCGGGCGCAGCCATCTGTGCCGCCACGGTGGCGGCGGTGAGGCGGGGAGGGAGCTCGGCACGCAGATGCACCGCATGGTGGGTGCTCAGCGCCGCCTCCTTTCCTGCCGCCGCCTGCTGCAGCGCCCGCAGCGCTGCCTCCTCCTCCTCCAGCTGCCGCTGCTGCTCCTGCTGCTGGGGCTGCTGCTGCTGGGGCTCCTCGCCACCCTGCTGCTCCTCGGCACCCTGCTGCTCGGGCTCTGGCTGTGGCTGCACGCCGCCCTCCGCTGGCCCGCCCGCCACGGCGGCGGCGGTCGACTCTCCCTGCGGCTGCTGCTGCGGCGGCTGCTGAGGCATGGCTGGCGGCCCACAGGCCACCACCCAACGCCGCGCCTCCTCGCTGCCCTTGGGATTCGGCCATGCCAGGTCAGCCAGTGCAGGCGGGTTGTCTGCAGGCGGAAGGGAGGAGTGGGTGGTTGCAGGACATAGGCCGGCCAGCGATCCGAACATGCAGGCCGATGGGCAGGCGTGGTGCTGCAGCGCTGGTGCCCAGGCCCAGGCAGGGAGCTTGCGTAACAGAGCACAACACGACGAGAGGGGAGTGGGACAAACGCAGGCCCATACGCACAGCGAGGCGAGCGGCGCTAGAAGGGCAGCGGGGCTGCCAGCAGGCAGCGGCCCAGCCCCCCACCTGTGAGGTAGCAGTGCAGCCGGTCGGATGCGCGGTAGATGGGCCAGCCAGCCTCCAGCTGCCCCGCCCGCACCTGCTCCTGCAGCATGTCCAGCTGGCGGGGCTGCAGCCAGCGGGGTGCAGCGGGCGCAGCGCGCGGTGAGGTGAAGCGACGCCTGCGCCTCCAGCCGCACACACGCGCAGCAACACGCAGCAGAACCTCCACACCCCAGCCCGGAGCTTGCGCTGATGCAGCCACTGGGGCAGCCAGGCAGGAGGAGCCTTGCAGCAACGCCACGCTGCACCAACAACGGCGGCAGCAGCAGCAGGCGCAGCAGCAGGAGAAGCAGCAGGAGAAGCAGCAGGAGAAGCAGCAGCCGCGGCAGCGGCAGCGGCGGCACACCGTGGTGTGCCCGGTCAGGTCTGGCAGCAGCGCCTGCCAGTACCCCTCCTCAATCTCCGCGGGACGCTCTGTACCGCCCGAGGCCAGCACGGCGCCCATGGAGCGGTGGAAGGCGTCGTCGTGGCGGGGCGCCGCCGGCGCGTACAGCCCGTCTGCGGAGCACAGGCAGCAGGTGATACGGCCTGGGGTGAGCGGGGTGACAGGTGTGTGTGGGGGGTGAGAGGTGTGTGTGTGTGTGTGTTGGGGGGGGGTGCTGGCTGGTTGCCGCTCGCTGCCTCAGCGGATTTATGCACGCGCTCGATGCGAGCCAGGGCAGCGCGCAGGTGCGGCTGCGAGCCCGGCGGCGCGGGCACTCACCGCCGTCGGCGGGCAGCGCGGCGCTGCTGGCCTCCTGCATCTGCCCCTCGGGCGGCCGTGGGTCCTGCGACCAGCTCAGCCCAGACTCAGCCGGCGCCGCCGTGGGCAGCGCAAAGGCCGGCAGCGGCAGCTCGCCGGCCTGGTACCAGGCGCGGGCAGCCGCCAGCTCGGCGGCGGCCGCCGGCCGGCGGCGAGGGTCGCCCGCGGCCGCCGCTGGCTCTGCCGCCGGCACGGCCGCCGGGCCCCGCTCCGGCTGGGCCTCTCCCCCTCCCTCCTGCTTCGGCTCTGCAGCCGCTTGCTGCCGCTCCTGCCGTGGCGGGGCCAGCTCCTCGCGCTCCTCCTTGACCTCCCCTGCAGGCTCCTCCTTCACCTTCCCTGCCGACACCCCAGCGCCTGGCGCGGTCGCTGCTGCCGCTGCCGCTGCCGCTGCAGCTGCCGGCTCCAGAGGCAGCTGCCGCGGCGGCTGGTGCTCATTGTCCAGTACCAGCTCCGTATCCGCCACATGCCAGCTCCACTCCTGCCCCGAAAACGGCGGCGGGCGGGCGGCGGCGGGGTCGGGGCCCGCCCCGGGCAGCGCCAGCTGGCGTGCCAGCGCATCAAGCTCCTCGCACTGCTTGTCAAACAGCTGCAGGCGGGCAGGCAGGCAGGCAGGCAGGCAGGCGGGAGGGCAGGCAGGCTGCAGATCACGAGGAGGGCGCAGGCGGGATGCATGGTGGCGACAGCACACGGCCTGGTCGTGGCAGGCTGCGCAGTCGCCAGCCCAGCAGCAGGCGGCCGGCTCAGACAGGCAAGTAGAGCAGGGCGAGCGGGCAGGCAGGCAGGTAGCGGCGCTTGCCTCTGGCGGTTCTGGTGCACTGGAGGCAGCAAACATGGCGTCCCCTAGCGCATACAGTTGCTCCACACCGGCCGAGTCAAAGTCGGCTCCATACAAGGATGCCAGCTGGCGCAGCCTGCAAGGTGGCAGGGGCAGGGCGGGGCGCGACACGCCGGCGGCAGCAGCGGTGAGGATGGGCCGCAGCAGGAGGCGGGCGAGTGCAGCTGGCCTGCTCACGTGGCGGTGGCAAGGCTGCGCCCAGTGAGGCAGGGCTGCACCAGACGGCACCAGGTGGGCTGCAGAGCTGGCGAGGCCAAGCAGGCAGGAGCAGGCTGCCTCACTTGTGTGCTATGTCCGGAGATTTTGGCGGCGGCGGCTGCTCCTGCGGCTCCTCCGTTCCTGGCGAATAGTCCCAGCCAGCTCGTCCTCGCCCCACCGGTAGGGAGCCTGCAGAGCGAGACCGCCTCCGCTGCCGCTTGGCGCCAGGCTGCCGCTCGCGGCTGGTGCTCCTGCTGCGCCGCCGCTGCTTCGGCGCGGCGGGCTGGCCGTTGGCGGCGACGCCGGGGCTCCGGGTGCGGCGTCGGCTCGCCACGGGGCTGCTCCGGAGGCTGTCCCTGCACCGGGAGCACAGTAGGGGAGAACACAAAGTGGATAGGTGATGGTCGGAAGAATATGGGGACTGCGGAATGCATCCAATCGACATCCATGGCTCCCCCCTCTTCTAAGGCAAGCCAGGCAGGCATGGGGTGCACCTGTGCCGCTCCCGCTCGTCCCGTGCATCTCGCTCGTCCCGCCGCCCGGGTCGTGGCTCACGCACCGCCGCCGCCGCCGCCCGGCTGTCCCTAGGGTCCCAGCCAGCACGCCTGCCGCCGCCGGGCTCCTGCATGTGCCGTTCATCCCGCCAGCCATCCCGCCGCCAATCGTCGGGCCGCGCAAAGCGCCGGTCAGCTGGGCGGTCGGGGGAAATGTACCGCCTGGCGTCCCGGCCGCCGTACCGCTCGTATCGCCGGCCGGCCCGCCACTCATAGTCCCGCTCGTCCCGCCGCCGGTCTCGGCTACGGCTGCAGGCAGAGAAAAGGAAGGAGCAGCCACAAGATGGAGGCTGTTGGTCGAGCTGCGCAAGGCTGACCGATGATGCTGGCAGCTGATGAAATGCAGGCAAAGCAAGGCGGGCCAACCCAGCCGGTCTTCGCAGGACTCAAGCCAGGCGGCACAAATGGCGGCTGTCGCTCGGCGCGCTTGCCTGCGGCAGCGCGGCCGCCGCTCGTACTCGCGGCGCCCTCTATCTCGGCTGCGGCTCCTGCTGCGACTCCTGCTGCTGTAGCTGCTGCTGCTGCTGTAGCTCCTGCTCCTGCTCCTGCTCCTGCTCCTGCTGCCGCTGGCCAGCTCTCCTTCGCTCCGGCTGGTGCTGCGGCCGCGGCTGCGGCTCCGGCCTCTCTGCCGCACTCGCTGCTGCGCTGGCTCCTCCGCTTGTTCCTGCTGCGCTGTCTGCTGTGATTTCTGCTGTGGCTGTGGCTTCGTCTCCTGCGCCGCTGGCTGCTGTGCTTTCTGCTGCGGCGGCGCCTCCGTTTCCTGCGCCGGTTGCTGCTGCGCTTGCTCCGGCTGCGCGTGCTGCTGCGCTCCCTGGTTGAGCGCCTCTGCAGCCTGCAGCGCTGCTGCCACCACCGGATTGGGATGCCCAGTGGCGGTGATAGGCTGTGGAACAATCGCCGGGAAGGGGCATGTCGCACCAGGAAAGGCGCCAGGATAGATAGGTGCCATGCCAGCAAAGGGCACCCCTGGGCTGATGGAAGAAAGCATGGCCGGTGGGGCCAGGGGAGCTGGGGGTGCCGCTGCCAGTGCCTGTGACCTCACAGCTGACTCAGCCACAGCAGCTGCCTGCACACCTGGCTGCGCAGCTGCAGCTGCGACCGCGGCAGCTGGCGCTGGCGCCTGCTGCGGCAGGATGGCCGGCTGCAGCTGCTCGGGGCCGGCTGCCGGCGCCTGGGCCGCAACACGCAGCGGTGGCGGCTGCGGCGACGGCTGCGGTGTCTGCTTGGCTGCGGCTGCTTGCACATCTTGCTGCACCAGCAGCGCCAGCCGCTCGTTGGAGGCTGCATCAGGCTGCCCCCCTGGGGCAGGCTGCTCCTTGGTTGCAGAAATAGGCTGCGCCTTTGCAGCCCCCTTACCGCCGCTGCCCAGGTCTTGCTCCGTTCTGAGCAGCTCCGCCGCCAGCTCAGCATCCTGGGAGGAATCCTTCTTGCCGCGGGTGCCGGTGGCGCTCCTGCGGCAGGCGGCAACAGCAGCAAAGCAGCAAAGCAGCAGTGAGCGTGGCTGGAGCTGGAAGCCGCACCGCAGCAAGGCAGGCCGCTGTGTGATGGTGTCATTTGTCTAAAGGAAAGGTGGCTGCGATCCGGCAACGGCAGGTGCCTGGCAGGCCTGCGACGCGCACCTGGGCCGCATCTGGATGTTGCCAGCGAGGGAGCGGTTGGCCTTGATGCCCACCAGCTTGGCGGCGGGCCGCGGCGCGGCCTGCGGCTGGCTGCCGCCCACGCCGCCGCCCGCGCTGCTGGGCCGCTGCGCCTCCTCGCCTGCAGCGCCGCCCTGTGGCGCCGCCTGCTTGCGGCCATCGGGCCCCGCTGCCGCCGCTCCCACCGCGGCCACAGGCGGCGGCGTGGCCTCGCCCGCTGGTGCCTCCGCTGCTGCTGCCGCCTCCTCCTCCGCTTTGGCTGCTTCCCGATTCTTCCGGGCCCGCTCAGCGATTGCCTGCTGCACCGTTTCCAGGTGGTTTGCAGCCTGCGCAGCCCCGGGCCGCGCCAGCTCCCCCTCCTCTTGCTGGCTGGGTGGCCGCATCGCCGGCAGCGGCGGTGGCGCCTCTGTCGGCAGCGGTGGTGCCATGGCGCCTGCCGCTGCTGCCTGCTGCTGATGATGATAATAGTAGTCGGCTGTCGGGTGCTGCTGAGCATAGCCTGGCTGCTGGTATGGGTGTGGCGGGTAGCCGCTGCCGTCGGGGAAGTGCGGTGGGCCGTGCTGCACCCCAATGCCAGGCGGCAGGCCAGCGAAATGTGGTGGAGGCGGCCCATGCGCCGGACCAAGGTATGGGGGAGGCGGTCCTAAGGGCCTCTGCAGCGGAGCAAGCAGAACGGGTGCTGCTTAGGGCAAAGCGGCTGGAGGTGACGGCAGCACAACATAGCACTAGCTGCTCCCTCATGCCTGCGCCGCGGTCTGCACCAAAACCCAGTCATCAAGCAGCAACCAGGGCAGGTGCTCGCTGCACGCACCCAGGCTCCAGGCGGCGGCAGGCCACGTCCAGGCGGCGGCCCCCAGCCAGGGCCGGGGCCCCTCCCTCGCTCCCTGCAGCACACGCAATCGCGACACCCGGCATTCGACCCCATGTCCTGCCTGTGTGCACGCAAGGGGCTTCTGCAATGGCTGATCAAGAAGCGCTCAGCGGCTGAGAACGCAGCAAACTGCAGCACTCACCCGTGGCGCATGCCACGCTAATGCTATTCAACAGCCCAGCGTCACACCGGGTAGAAGACCGCACGGCACTGTGGGTGCTCAAGGGGCAGGTGGCTTGCGTGCAGCCTCCCCTGCTGGCGTGCACCACCTCCTTTCAGTTGCTGTTGAGTCAAGTAGAGAAAAAACAACAGCAGAGGCACTCCATAGCCTCGCTGCCGCGACGATGCGAATTGGAGAGCAGGGCAGAGGCCGATGGGCTTACTCCTAGGAGCTCCTGCGCCCTACACTGCCTTCCAGACCGGTGGGATTGGATGCAAGCGCGGAGCGGGCAGGTCCAGGCGCAGCAGGCACGCCGCATCCCGCCGCCGCCCGCCGCCCTTGCCCAATGTCCTCCTGTTTGGTCGCCGACAAAGAATCCGCTGCTTCAGGGCTACAAAGGAGGGCTTCATAGAATAACGACATCACTTCACCACATTCAACCCTCGCCGTGGCGTGGCTAGTCCTCCTTTGCTGCCGCCGCCGCCGCCAGCTGGGCAAAGGGCCCCGTGAGGCCGCCCTTCTCCGGGGGTATCGCCGCGGGGAAGGCGGTGCGGGCCGTGCGCTCGATAAAGGTGGCGATGCCAAAGGCGGCCGCCGCAAATGCCAGCATCTGGAACTGCAACCAACATCAGGGGCAGGGGGAGATTAGCGCCGGTGGCTTGCAACCATCAGGCCAAACGCAACAGGCTGCTTGCCATTCGTGCACTGCCCCCCTGCTGGCAGGCATCGATTCACAATGCTCATGGCGAGCTTGCCTGCATGTCTCCGGGGATGGGAACCAGAGAGAACCAGCTGGAGATGCCTGCAAGGGCATGGTGCGGGGTGCAGGGCACGGCACAGTCAGCGGGTGCATGACGACAGTGCATGCGGCTGTTCCGTTCGCTGCTCCAGACCCATGTGCTGTGCGTAAAGGTGGCACAGGGACAGCTGCACCCCCCTTAGAAACGTTGCATCAACCCACCCATTGATACAACCCTATCACGCACACATCCGCCCACCCTCTGGCCCGCCCACGCACCCACGGGGATGTTGAGCACCAGGGTGACGTACAGGCCTGCCGACCATTTCACAGAGGCAGCAAAGAACTTGTTCTCCAGCAGCGGCGTGTTGAAGGGCTCGCCCACATAGTTGACCGCAAACGTCATGGTCTGCGCGGGAGGCAGGCGGGAGTGTGGAGTGTTCTATGCTTCTGATGCGTGCGTGCATGCGTGGCTGTGTGGTGTGCCCGTGGCGCGGGCGGGACAGCAGGGCTCCCATCAAGGCCAGCGGCAGGCACATGGACTCTGAATGCCTGGCTTGCGGGAGCAAGAGCGGGAGCGGGAGCGGGAGCGGAGTGCTGCCCACCTGGATGCTGAAGTTGGCCAGGAAGCAGATGGTGTTGATGAGGTTGGGCTTGAACTCGGCATCCGGCTCCTGGCGCTCCTCCTGCAGGCAGCCACAGAGACGGCTGGTGCTGTCGAGGGGAGTAGCGTGCTGCCGGCATCGGCGGCGCTCAAGGCAGCCGCATCTACCGCACAAGGCCATGGCTTGATGCGAGACATCCGCAAAAGACAAACAGCAGCAGCAGCAGGCGGCAAGGTAGCCATACCGGGGGCATGAGCGCGTGCGCCTTGTGCTGCATGTACATGAGGAAAGTGAGGTAGACGGCAAACTGGCCCAGCAGAGAGGTGAAGACGTAGCGGCAGAAGACGCGCGGGTGGGGGCGCGCCTTGCTGCGGGGCAGGCAGGCAGGCAGGGGCAGAGGGCAGGGTGGCGTGTGAGGGGGGTCGGGAGGGGCCAAGGGCAGTGGGGTGCAGCGGCGTGTGCGTCCAGAAGCAGCGCAGAGAAGGAGCAGCCCCAGCCTGGCTGCACGCCCAGGAACACAACGCAACCAGCAGCCCGCACCTCATCTTGTCCAGGGGCTTTGCGTTGGAGATGAAGAAGAACATGCCGGCGGTCAGCATGCCCGCCGTCGTGGCCTGCAGGAGGAGTAGGGGTAGCGCCACGCCACGCCACACAACAACTTGAGACCACCCAATCTGAACACACACGTGTGCCACACCAGAAGAAGCAAAAGCAGGGCTGAACCCTCCTGCCAAACCGGCCGCAGGCCTTTACTTTCTTTACGACTCAGGCCAGGCGCCCCACCTGGAGGTCCCCCAGCTTGATGCCATCCATGTACAGCACCGACAGGGAGTAGGCGGTGGAGAGGCACAGCAGGCCCAGGATCTTGAACATCTGGATGGTGGTCACCTGCGCAGCCGGCGGGGCGGGGGCAGGCGAGAGGAGGCTGTGGGGGCGAGGAGGGAGAGTGAGGGTCGAAGAGAAAGTGTGCACGGCGAGGACAGGAAACCAGAATGCGCTGAAGACAGTGGGTTTTATGAGAGGTGCCGGCAGCGCCAGCAGCGGCGATGGCCAGGGCGGCAGTGCCCCAGGCAGCGGCGGCGCACCAGGGTGCAGCGCCCCTGCTTGAGGATGTCCAGGCAGGGCATGACGCTGCTCTGCTTGGCGGTGAAGGGGGCCGCCATGGAGGCGTCGCCCGGCTTCACCATGTTGCTCGCCTGCGGCGGTGCAGGGGAGGCCAGGCAGGTGCAGGGCGTTGATGCTTATGCAAGGATGCGTGCAGGGTGGCGAGGGAGAGGGTGAGCACAGCAGCGACAGCGCAATGAACACCCAGCCAAAGCGCCTGCACTTGAGGCTCTCAACCGGCAGCGACGGCCACTCCAGGCGCCGCGCACCTCGGCCTCTGCCGCCTCCGCCATGTCATCCATTGATTTGGCCATGCGCTCGATGAAGGGGGTCACTGCGGGCAGGTGATGCAGGGATGTGCGAGCAGGAGGTGAGGAGGCACGAGTTGCGGTGGAGCGGGCATGCACAGGAACCAGCAGGTGATGCAGGGATGTGCGAGCAGGAGGTGAGGAGGCACGAGTTGCGGTGGAGCGGGCATGCACAGGAACCAGCAGGTGGGACGGGGAGATGCAGCTGTGCAAGGGAGGTGTTGCACATTGGCACTGGAAATGGGCTGCCCACTGATGGCTGGCAGAATGGCAGGGTGCTGGATGCAGCAGCCTAAGGTGCATCACTGCCAGATTCACAGCAAAAATGGCAGACACCCTGGAATGCATGCCATGCGTGCTGATGCTGCTGGCCGGCACTGCCATGCGCTGTGTTGCGCTGCTGCCTGCTGCGCCACTGCACCTGGTCGCCCCTGGGCCCGAAGCTTGGCAATCATCATGGCGCCTGGCCGGTTCTTGGGCGGCTCGGCGTTGGGGCTAGCAGCGCTGCCCGCGCCCTGGGCTTGGCCCGGCTGCTGCCGCTGCTGCACCACCTGGCTGCCGTGCAAGCCGCGCGGCACGATGGCCGAGCTGCCCGCCGCGGCGCTGCCGCCGTCTGCGCCTGCTGTCAGCCTGCCCTTGCCACCGCTCTTACTGGCTTTGTCCTTCTTGACCTTGCCCGCCGGAGGCGGTGGCAGCAGCGCCACGCCCACGTGCGCGCCTGCAGCAGGCAGCCACACAGGCGAGCGGCTGCAGTCAGCTATATGCCTGCCAACCAGAAACCCAAAGAGAGTTCGAGAGAGCATGCACAGGGGCCCAGGGCGCTCCCCACCCTCCCTTCCACCTCACCCTTGAGCGCTCCCACGTCGTTGGTGCCGTCGCCGCACATGAGCACGTGCAGGCCCACCGCGCGCAGCGTTTTCACCACCACCTCCTTTTGTTCGGGAGTGACGCGGGCATACACCTGTGGTACGACGGACAATGCGACGAGGGTGAGGGGGTACAATGGTGAGAGAAAGGCCTGCTATTGTCAGCTCAGGCTCAGGCTTAGCAATCAAAGAGACTGTGCCATGAGAGTGAGGAGGGGCTGACCTGAGAAAGAGGGATATAAGTCTCGGCAGCGCCAATGTCCTGCAGCGCTGCCAGCGTATCGCCTGCAGGCCGGGAGGGAAAAGAGGGACAGCACGGGGCCGCAGCGGCGGGGAGATGTGTTCAGGTATGTAGATGCCACACAAGGCAGCCAAACCCTTGTTGAACGTCGAATGGCAGTGCCTGCATCCTCCCGACAGGCATACCACACCACGCATCACCTGTAATGCAGAGGTCGTAGTCCTGGGCCAGCTGCCAGGCAGCGCTCAGGGAGGAATCAAAGGGCTCACGGGTGCGCTCATCAGGCGACAGCCAGACAAGTGAGCCGCCATTGCTGCTGCCGTTGCCGTTGCCAGCCCTGCACAACCGCTCATCGGGGTCAGGAATTTGATACATCGTCCAGCTGGCAGTACGACGTGCCTGCCAGGTGCCGTCTTCATGCAAAGCGAGGCAGCAGGGAGCCCAGCAGGCACTCACTTGGTGAGAATCAGGGCGGGCCGTGTCACAATGTGCACCTTGGCGGCCGTGTGGCACGCTGTCAGCGGCGCGTCACCTGCAGCAGCATGGCCGTGACTCAGCCGGCAGTGCGAGAGCAGCGAGACATTGCACAGCTGAGCATGCACAGCGGCTTGCTACCCCGCAGCGGAACCCTTGTGCGGTACCGCACCTGTGATCATGATCAGCTGGTGCTGCGACTCGCGCAGCATGCGCAGCGCGGGCTCGGAGTCATCCTTGAGCGGGCTGCGGAACACCGCAAACCCGGCAAACAGCAGCCCGCTCTCCGCGTGGTCACGGGGCAGGTGGCGCAGCTCGGAGGGCGTCATCTCGCCGGGCAGCTGCTTGTAGGCGAGCGCCAGCACGCGAGCCCCCTCGGAGGCATAGTGCTGCATAGGGGAGCAAGGAGGCAAGGTGGGACCAAGAGAAGGGGTCGCCGAGTCGGGTCCCGAGCAGCCAGTGCAGGTACCGCCAACAAGCGGAGACCCGCAGACGTAAGAGGGCACCAGCCCACACGAGTGAGTGAGGCCCCAGCGGCTGCCTTCCTGCCGCACCTTGTAGCACTTTTGGTAGTGCGGCGGCACGGTGGCCAGCAAGCCCTGCACCACCTCTGGCGCGCCTTTGCTCAGCACCCACCAGCTGCAACAGCGGGTGCAGGACAGAGGCTCAGAGCACAGCGGCAGGCCGGGCGGCACTACGCACAGCGCCAGGTGGCTCGCCAGCCCACCACCTGCATTGGTGCTAGTGGAGAGCACACGCCGTGCAGGCGCCACACCCCTTCACCATACGCCCGACATGCAAGGTCCCAACTGCACGCCCCCCGCCGCCCACCTGTGACAGCCCTCCCCCTCAGTCTCCACGATGGTGCTCATGCGCTTGAGCACGCTGTTGAAGTGGAAGCGGTGCATGATCTGCAGGAAGGGCGAGGAAGGGAGGGGCAAGGCGTCAGCTTGTGCAAGTGTGCAGCGCTGCATGGGGGCGACATGGCACTGGGCAACACCGAGCCCAACAGCAGGCACTCGCCTTGTTGGACTCCTTGCCGCTGTCGCCGTGGCTGGTGATGGTGTCCTGCTTGCACACCCAGCCTGCACAGAACAGCAGGCAGGCACAGATACTAGCAAACAGTGGGGTGCCTGTGTTTTGGTGGCTACTAGGCGGTCCATTCAGCACTCAACCAATCACGCAAGCCCTGCCCAGCCAGAAGCATCCTTGGCATTGGCATGTACCTGTGGCCTCCACAGCCGCCTTCTCCACTGGGTCTCCCACCATGCCCTTGTCCACCTGCATGCCAGCCGTCAGTACATCAGTGATATCCACTGTGCCCCTCAGGCTAGGGGGCCCTGTTGCCTTCTGCTTTTTTGATGGCTGCGCCAGTCTGCCCAGCAGCGGCAGCAGCGCCATTCATAGCCACCGCACCAGCAGCAGGCTCTGGCAACAGGCCAGCACGCGGCTGACTGCAGTGGGCAGCGTCTTGACGTCTGCCACGACGTCGTCCTCGTGCCCCTGGGTGCCAGCCACCCCCTCCAGCACCATGTGGTCGCTGGTCAGCGTGCCGGTCTTGTCAAAGCAGCAGGTGGTGAGCTGCAGGGCGGGCAGGACCATGGCGAATGTGTGGTTGGTGGGGTGTGTGCAGGACACGGTCTGTGATGGCAACGTGAGGCTGTAGGGGGATGTGGCAACGGCTCCACGGGCCCGTCCGGGCCAGCTGGCAAGGAAGCAAGAAGCCAGTGTTGCAAGCAACACCCTGCCTATCCCTGCCCCTTGCCCCACCTTGCCGGCCACGGGGATGCGGAAGGGCTCGGTGCAGAAGATCTTCTTGCGGGCCAGCGCCAGCAGGCTGGCGTTCACAGCCACCGTCAGCTCCATCGGCAGCTCGGGAGGGATGACTGCGGGGCAGGGTGGGCCAGTGTGAGCTGGTGATGTGTGTGGCGGTGTGTGTAGTGTGGCATGCGTGTGCTGCGGTGGCAGCTCGATGAGGCTGAGCAGCCAGTCATGTGAGTGCTGCAGGGCCTGCCCTTCCCACCCACCCGAGGTGAGGATCATGATGCAGTTGAGGATGAGCTTGAAGCGGTCGCGGTCGGGGTCCTGCGGGCGGGCAGGGCAGGATGGGCAGGGCCTGGGGAGCGTTCAGTCTTCAACGAGTAAACGGGAGGCTGACCGGCATGCAGGGCTGGCCTGCGCCACGCTCACCCAACTGCCACCACCAAACCATGCACACCGCCACGCGCTGCCTGCCTGAGTTCCCCGCGCAAGTCCCCACCTGCAGGCCGCGGTAGAGCACGTATCCACTCGCGGCGATGGCCCAGACCAGCAGGAAGAGGATGAAGAGGAATGCCTCGGCGTTGTTGGCCGTCACCCGCTCGGTCGAATACAGGATGGTGCGCATCAGGCGGCCTGCGGGGCAGGGCATGCGGTGGCGCGGGGTGGGATGAGGGCAGGGAAACGGGGTGCATGGGATGCGAAACGGAGCTGGGCTTGGCATGCATTGCATGGTGGCACACACACACAGTACACTCCGCACAAACCCCAGCAGGGCGCACCCTGCGCCGTGCCAAAGCCGGTGCGAAGCACCACGGCCAGACAGCCGCCATCGGGTGTCTTGATCTTGGCGCTCTTGTCGCCGCTTGACTGCAGCAGCTTGGTGCCACCAAACAGCACGTGCATGCGGTCACGCTTGATGCTGAGCCTGCGGGGGCACAGAGGAGAGCAAGTGAATAGTTGCGAGGCTGGGTTGAAGAGTGTGGGTGGGCAGCAGCTCGTGCCAACATCCCTGCGCCTGTCAGTCTCCCCTCACCCGTGCCTGCTGCCCCCTGAATCCTGCCTGCCTGCAACTATACATGTGTAGCTAGCTTGCCTGGAGGTGGGCTCAAGCTCAGAGGCATCAATCTCGTCCCCCGTGGCCTCCCCCACAGGATTCTTCCACTGCGGCGTGCTCTCGCCTGTGCTTGGGAGGAAAGAAGGCACAGCAGGCAGGCATGTGAGCCCAGAAGCTATGTTCCTTGGGGACAGCAGGCAAGGCCCAGGTGCCGGCCCGGACAAGGATCCCCCTTTGTTCCCACCTGTCAGCACTGCCTCATCCACGATGCAGGTGCCTGCCAGCAGCAGCACGTCTGCCTGCAGTACCAGATCATCGCCGCCCTCTGCAGGCAAGCAATGGGGAAAGGTGGGCAGGGCACAGGCGGAAGCAGGGGACACATCTGTCAACACCAGCAGGACAGCTGTAGGCAGCAAAGCGACAGGCGACAGTGGCCACAAGCACCGGAGCCAGCCCCTGCAATGGCAATAACCCGTGGTTCAAGCTGCTCCGTCCTGCAGACCCACCTGACCGAACAACCGAGACCACATCGCCGGGCAGCAACGCTTCGCCAGGCAGCTTGCCCCACTTGCCGCTGCGGTACACGTTGAGGGGCTGCGGTACAGCACGGGAAGGACAGGCAGGCACCAGTACAGTGTGTCTGCTGCTCGGGCGGCATGTGGCAACTCAAACAACGCAAGGCCAGTGCAAGACACCACGAAAGGCAGGCAGGCAGCCAGGCCCCTGAGCAAGGCACCAACCTGCTTGACAGCCTGCAGGCGGCGCACGTCGCTGAGGTTTTTGAGGCGCTGCCCCACCACCGTGCACTCAAAGCTGACCAGCATGAACAGGGTGAAGAGGGAGTAGTACCTGCGGCCAGCAATTCAGCAGCACCATGAGCAGAAGCGAACCACAGGCAACAGCCTGGCCAACAACAGCTCCGCTTCAAGCACCACAGTCTGCCAGTTGTGTTGCTCAGGGGACCTTAGGCCGCAAACAGGCCCGGTCGCAAGGCTGAAACATGAAGCGCGTGCGACCCCAAAGGATTTGTTGCGGCCACGCCAGCTCAGCTCGGCTCACCAGTAGTCGTCCAGGGCCCACAGGCCCACGCAGAAGACCTGGAAGCAGAAGAAGGGCGCCAGCAGCTGCTCCCACAGCAGCTCCGTGAAGCGCGGCACAGGCACCTCGAATTTGTTGGGGCCCCACCGCTCAAGCGCCGCCACCAGCTTGCCCTCAGCGCCATACCCGCCGGTGGCACGGTACGTGGCAAATGTCTCCTGCAAAGGGCAGGGGAGCCGAGGAGCCGAGGACAGGTCGGTTGTTGTTTGGCAAGAAGCCATCAGCCAACAGCATCTGCTTGCACCACGGGCCGGCGCCTCCAACCACGGCTGAACAATCTTGCAGCAGGCTGGCAGGCGAAGACCGGCAGCTGGGGCAGCACCTTGGTGGGGTATTTGAGCTTGTGGAACATTCCGTCCTTAGGGTCCAGGATGAAGTGCAGCTTGCGGAAGTCAAAGCTGATGATGGGGCCTGCATCCTGCAAGGCCAACGTGGGGGAAGAACGCAGCTGTCGCTCAGACTGCCTGTGTGCGACGCGACAGTCGGTGGCCACCTCCAGCCACCTTCTGCCACCTGCGACTGCCACAAAACAGCCAGGCTCTCCCGGGCCCCGGGCCTGGCCTCACCGTCTGCTTGCCGTGCAGCGGCACCATCTCGTTGGTTCCCACAAACGAGTGGGGCACCACCTTGACGTGCGTGGCATCTGCCAGGTGGCTCACGGCGCGGAAGTGCAGCCGGCTCTTGATGTTCACGCTCCACACCGTGCCCAGGTACGTCAGCGCCTGCCAAGGGTCGCGACAGGGAGGAGCGGCAGTGGGGAGATGGCAATAGGGAGAGGTGCAGGTGAGGAGCAACCCATCCACCGTTCATGGCAAGCAAGGGAGGAGACGTTTAGGCTAAACGATCATGCCTCGGCCCCTGCCAGTCTCAAGCAGCTGCTGCTGCACAGCGCAGGTGGTACACGGTGCAGGCAGCGCAGACTCGCCAACCAACTCACGTGCAGCGCCAGCACGGCATACGAGACCAGCTGGATGAGGGTGAACTTTTCGGTGCCTTCCTGGATGAGCAGCTGCAGGGCCCAGGCCGCCCACACCGCGTACAGGGCCAAGAAGGGGGCCACATCGAGGCGGTGCCACCTGCGGGCAGACACGGGCGTCAGTGAGCGACGGTGCTGGCGGCGGGCGGAAGGCGGCAGAGCGCGGGCAACAGCCCCGCGTGCGCAGCTCTCCGCAGCACTGGGCGGCGCATCGTGGCGCGGGGCAGAAGGGCTGGACCCCTGCCGCCGCAGCTGACAAAAGAGGCGCGCAAGGTTCCACCGGCGTCAGCGGCGACACACACTTGTCTAGTTTTCTGTACAGCGCCACCTCCTGCAGCTCTTTGGCATCCACGCCTGGCAGGTCCGCCATCGCAGCCCGTCCTCCCCGACCACCTGCTGATCAGCGCCTCCCTCCAATCAATTTCAGCTCCTTGAGTGGCTCTGACACAGTGAGGAATGCCAGGCTTTGATTGCGACCAGCCTGGGGTGGCCCATGCAGTACGGCGAGGCGTCGGAAGGCGGCGGAGGTACGGACAGTCGCCCTGACACCGCACGTGCCACCCCAGGGAACTCCTGATGCTTCCTGCAGGCAGGTTGTCGTCAGTGCAGAGACTTGTTGCTACATGCACTGCAATCAGCTGCTGCCGCAGAACACGACAAGGGTCGGCATCCCAAACGGCGACCCAAGCTGGCAGCAACCGCAGCAGGGCGGACAATGAACAGATCAAGCAACAAGCTGCCGGATTAAATTCCAGTGTCCCTGTGTCAGACTCATGTGTCTCAGGTTGCTCGAAGCTGACGCGCCGTGGCCAGGTTCGGTGCTCAGGCGCCGCGGGGTGCGGCGGCGTGCGTCCTGCTGGCACCAGCCTGTCATCGACGGGCTCTCCATTGTTGATCATCTTCTCCTCCTGTCACTACTGCTCCTGCCGATTCTTGCAACCAAACTCTGCGCAGCAGTAGCTGATCCGCCGTGATCGGGGGCGGCATGTGAAAAGTAGGCTTGGAGTGGACACAGGCTCCCACAGGCACAAGGTGGAGTTTGCACGGCTTGTCCTGGTTTCGTGCGACCGCTGCAACGCCGGCCGATGCTGTCGCCGCTGCGGCAGCTCCTGCCACCCGCCCCTGCCTGCTGGGGCCCAATCATTTTGGCAACCTTTCCCTGCCTGCGCCGCCTGCAGCCCAGCACCAATCCCTTCCGAGCATGAGCACTGTCGCTGCCGCTGGCGGCTGCGCCGCCCACGGCACCGTGCCGCCGCCGGTCGAGGTGCGGCGGGAGCAGGTTGTGCTGCCGACCTATGCGCCCTGCGCCGCCGACCCGCACCCCCAGTTCATCGAGAAGCGCGTCTACCAGGGCAGCAGCGGCAAGGTGTACCCGCTTCCTTTCATAGACCGCATCGAGGAGCAGAAGCGGGACCAGGCCTGGGAGGCGGTGTGGCTGGATAACGAGTTTGTGCGGCTCATGATCCTGCCGCAGCTGGGCGGCCGCATACACATCGGCCAGGTGCGGCATTGCGGCAGCGGGATGCCCTCTGTTGGGGTGGGGGGTGGCCGCTGGGCGTTGGCCGACAGGAGGCCATGGGGTTGTGCTCCCGGCTGCCATCCGTGCCGCGCCGCTGCAAACTCGCGCCGCCGCCATGTGCTTTGCTGCCAAGCCTCGTTGCCCGCAGGACAAGACCAGCGGCTACGACTTCTTCTATCGCCAGCGAGTGATCAAGCCGGCGCTGGTGGGGCTGGCTGGGCCCTGGATCAGCGGCGGCGTGGAGTTCAACTGGTGAGCGACGGCCGCCTCGACGCTGGGCCAGTTTTCAAACCTTCAGGCTGGCCGATGGGCTCTCATGAGCTCTCATGCTGGTGCCCCATTGCCACAGCGCAGCACCATGTGTGCGCCGTGCTTGCTCCGCCAGCCCAGCCGGTTGCTCGTGCCTGCCTGCCGCTGCATGCGTGCAGGCCGCAGCACCACCGCCCCTCCACCTTCATGCCCTGCGACGTTCACATTGAGCGGGAGGAAGAGAGTGGCGCCGTAACTGTGTGGTGCAGCGAGCATGAGCCGATGAACCGAATGAAGGTGCGGGGCAGAGGGGTGGGAGGGCAGCGGGCTCTAGGTGGTGGCTGGGCCGGCATGTAAGGATTGGTCGTGGGAGGTGCAGGCGCCAAGTGGAAGCACGGGCTTACTCTTCAGGCAGAGGCTGACAAACATGTGGTGCTTTGGGGAGGCAGGGAGGCTGATGGAACTGCTCTCAATGGGATTGAGCTCCTGCTGCTGCCTGCCTGCCACAACCACGGTGCAGGGCATGCACGGCGTGCGCCTGCGCCCCGGCTCCTCGCTGGTTGAGCTGCGGGTGCGGCTGTACAACCGCACGCCCCTCACACAGACCTTCCTGTGGTGGGCCAACGTGGGGGTGCATGTCAACGAGCATTATCAGAGGCGAGGCGGCCTGCCATGCCCTGCCATGCAAGCACATTGTCGCCAGTGCTTTGTTTCCTCGTGTCCTCGCCCATGCTTCTGTGCCGCATGCGCTGCTGCAATGCCATTGGTGCGGCACCCTGCTGCCATACCACCACGTGCAGTTTCTTCCCACCCGATGTGCGGTATGTGGCAGACCACGCCAAGCGTGCCATGAGCCGCTTCCCCAGCTGCGATGGGTTCTACTATGGAGTTGATTACAGGCGCGACATGGTGTGGTGGTGGTGTCGGTTTTGTGGGTAGGCGGCGAGTCATCCTTCTGTCTGAACGGCGGCTGCTGCTGCCTGGCGGTACCGCCACGGTCGCCGCTGCGCTGCAGGCCAGGCACGCGGCTGGACTGGTACAAAAACATCCCGGTGCCCACATCATACATGGTGTGCGGCACAGACAAGGTGCGTGTGGTGCGGTGTGGTGCGGTGCGGTGCGGTGCGGCGTGTGGCACAGGCAGTGGCGGTGGTGCTAGGTGGCGTGGCAGGGAAGCGTGGCTCAATCCCTGAAGCGCGTCCCCTGCCTTGCTCTGTTCTTCCCCACTGCCTGCCCAGCCCAGGACTTTTTCGGTGGCTACGACCACAGCGCACGTGGCGGCGTGGTGCATGTGGCCAACCATCACATCTCCCCTGGCAAGAAGCAGTGGACCTGGGGCAACCACGAGTTTGGGTGGGTGGGGCGGGGCGCAGCTGGCGGAAGCACACCACCAACCGACGCTTTGGGTTGGCGCCGCCCCCGCGCCGACACCCGGAGCGACAGCAGCATGCATGCATGGCGCGCCTGTGCGAGAGCCTGCGCCCCGCTTCCTCTCATGCTGCCTGCCGCCAGCGCCTGCTGCAGCTATGCCTGGGACCGCAACTTGTCGGACGAGGATGGGCCCTACATCGAGCTGATGGCGGGCGTGTTCACCGACAACCAACCCGACTTCTCCTTCCTGGCGCCCTACGAGACCAAGACCTTCAGCCAGCACTGGTGAGGCTGGCGGGCCTGGGTGCGCAAGGCAGGGGAGGGGTCGGGTCGGCCTGGTGGCGGCAGTAGCGGACGCGCCACATGCACACCCGCTGGCCCTGTCCTGTGGGGCTCGCCGCGCCTGGGTGCAGGTTCCCCATCCGAGACATCGGCTGCGCCCGGCACGCCAACCTGCATGGCGCCATCAGCCTGCAGCTGGAGGAGGGTGGGAGTGCGGCGAGGGTCGGAGTGGCTGCGACGGCGGAGCACCCTCAGGCGCTCGTCACGCTGAGACGCGTGGGGCAAGAGCAGCCACTCTTGCAGGAAGAGGTGGGGCTGGGCCCGGGAGCGCCGCTGCTGCGCAGCGTTCAGCTGCCGCCTGGCTGCAGGGAGCACGAGCTGACTGTGGTCGTACAGGCAGCTGGCAGGCAGCTGCTGGAGTACAGCCCGGACCCGCCGCTGGCGGAGGAGGAGGCTGCAGTACCAGACCCTGCCACCGAGCCCGCGGCGCCACAAGACATGGCCAGCAGCGACGAGCTCTACCTCACAGGTCGGCGCCGAGCGCTGTCTTGGCTTCGCCCCGTAGCACTGCCTCTGCTGACGTGGCGCCACCCGCGCCCTGACCCCTGGTCTCTGAGAGCAGCAGTACTGCCATTGCCTCTGCCCAGCCTCTCTGCGTTTGTGCATGCATGGGGGTTGAGCCTCCGCATGCCCACCTGCCAGTCGGCCGGGTGCGACAACCCCTGCGGTACAGGCCTGCACCTGGAGCAGTACCGCCACCCCACACGCGACCCCTGCTCCTACTGGCGCGAGGCCCTGGCTCGCGACCCGGGAGATGCGCGGTGCAGCACCTCCCTGGCCCTCTGGCACCTGCGGCGCGGCGAGTTCGGTGCCGCGGAGCGGCACTTCCGCGCCGCGGTGGCCCGCCTCACCGCCCGCAACCCCAACCCGGCAGACGGCCAGCCGCACTACGGCCTGGGGCTGGCGCTGCGGGGACTGGGCAGGGAGGAGGAGGCTTACACTGCGTTCTATAAGGCGTCCTGGAGCTATGCTTGGCGGGCGCCGGCCCACTATGCCCTGGCCCAGGTGGCACCGCTGCCTCACCCTGCTGGCTTGCTGTGCTCAGCTGGTCGTTGCTGGCGATGCCGTCCCGCCATGTGGGGGCTGAGCTGGCTGTGCCGTGCGAACTGCTGTTGGTTCCTGGGCGTCCCTGCCAAGGTGCTGGCGCTGCTTTGAGCTGTGCCAGGGAGGCGGCGCGGCAGGTGTTTGACAGGTGTTCGACAGCACGCTGATGAGTCTGCTGCGGCTCACTCTTCCCTGCCCTGCAGATCGACGCCGCGCACGGGGAGTGGGAGGCGGCGGCGGCGCACTGCCGCGCCGCGCTGGCTACCAACGCCGACTGCCTGCAGGCCCGCAACCTGTGTGCCGCGGTGCTGCAGCGAGCGGGGCGGGGGCAGGAGGCGACAGAGCTGGTGGCTGGCACCAGGGCACTGGACCCTCTGGACTGGTGGTCGGCACACTTGGAGGGCGGCGCCGCGGCAGCGCGCTGCAACACCCAGACAGCTCTGGACCTTTCGCTGGACTACGCCGATGCAGGTCGGTTGGGTGGGTGGCAACGTTGTGGGAGGCATGACAAGCTTGCTGGCTGGCTCCTTGCCTGTAAGAGCAGCTTGGGGCGCTCAGCAAGTGCCTGTCGAGGAGCACTTTATGCTGCCCGCGTCACCTGGGCGCCCCAGCTAGCTCCCCATGCACCCACCCACTATCTCTCGCCGCCACCACCGGCGCCTGTTGCAGGGCTGTATCAGGAGGCGCTCGAGTTGCTGGGTCCGCACACAGAGGCGCCCTCCCCGGGCACCGCGCCGCTGCTGCACTACTACCGAGCCTACTTCCACCACCAGATGGGGCAGGCGCAGGAGGAGGCGGAGTGTCTGGGGGCGGCGGCGGCAGCCCCACCAGACTACTGCTTCCCCGCCCGCCTCCAGGAGTTTGCTATCCTGCAGCATGCCATGGAGCAGGCGCCAGAGGATGCCAGGCACGCCCACAGCCGCCTCGTGCTGCTGCTGCTGCTGCTGCTGCTGCTGCCACGTCCGCGGTGCTTTATTTGAGCTCCCATCCGGCTGCTCAGCCTGTTTGCAGTGCCGCAGGGCGCGGTACTACCTGGGCTGCCTGCTGTACGACCGGCGGCGGTACCATGAGGCGATCGAGCTGTGGGAGCGCGCCGTGCAGCTGCAGCCGGAGGCGCTGCCCTCGGCCTGGCGCAACCTGGGCATTGCCTACCACAATGTCTGCCAGGTGCGGCTGGCTTCAGTAGCTGCTGTTCGATGCTCCGCCGTCCACCCAGGCCCTACCCCGCCACCGCCACCGCCGCCACCATCACCACCCAGGCAACACACACACACACACACACTTGTTCCATTGCGGAGCGCAGGACGCCGAGCGCGCCGCCTCCGCGTACGACGCCGCCGTGGCTCTGGCGCCCGACGACTCCCGCCTGCTGTACGAGCGAGACCGGCTGGCCCGGCGGCGGCGGGTGGCTCCCGCGCAGCGCCTGGCTGCCCTGGAGGCCCACATGGATCTGGTGCGGGGCCGGGACGCGCTCGCGGTAGAGGCCTGTGCGCTGTACAACCAGCTGGGCCGCCCGGCGGCGGCGGCAGCGCTGCTGGCCTCCCGCCGCTTCCAGCCGTGGGAAGGGGGCGAGGGCGCGGCGCTGGGGCAGCACGTGCGGGCGCACCTGGCGCTGGGGCGCGCTGAGCTGGCGGCGGGGCGGGCTGGGGAGGCGGCGGCGGAGTTCCGGGCGGCCCTGGAGAGCCCTCCCAACCTTGGGGAAGCCAAGCACCTGCTGGCAAACGACTCGGATGTGCGCTACTGGCTGGGCGCCGCGCTGGAGGCGGCGGGGAAGCAGGTGGGTGGCTGGCAGCCACGCGCTGATGTCGCCTGCACCGCGGAGATGCCGAGGCGTGAGGCGCCCGTTCGAGTGCCACCGGCACTGTCGCTGCTGCTGCCGCTGCGGCCGCTGCTGTTGACACCCTATGGCCCGTCGAACCTCCCGCTTGTGTTGTGGTGCAGGAGGAGGCGGCCGCGCTCTGGGAGGCGGCCGCCGCCTTCCAAGGCGACTTTCAAGGCATGGCGGTGTGCGCCTTTAGTGAGATGAGCCTCTACTCGGCGCTGGCCCTGCGTAGGCTGGGGCGAGAGGAGGTGCGGCGCGGGCTTGGCTGCCACGTGCTGGCGCCGTGGGGACAGGGCGGCACCCCATGAGCCGCTGCCCTGCCCCGCCATGTGCCCGCCCGCCTCCCCCGCCTCTGCTCCCGCCTGCAGGAGGCGCGGCAGCTGCTGCAGCGCCTGCTGGCGTATGCTGGCGAGCTTGCGGCCTCCCCTGCTTCCGTCGACTACTTTGCCACCTCCCTGCCAGACATGCTCACCTTCCACGAAGACCTGCAGGAGCGGCAGGTGCGTGCATGAGTGGTGTGCGAGGTGTGTGTGTGTGGGGGGGGGTGGGGGGGGGGCGGGGGCGGGATGGGTGTGCCCCGCACCTGTGTGGCCCGCTGTGCAGGGATAGAACTTGCGTGCTGTCGGCAGCGCTCTTGCTGTGCGCTGTGCGCTACGCGCTGTGTGTTGTGTGCTGTGCTTGATGTGCTGTGCGCTGTGCGCGCTGAGGGAGGGCAGCGCTGCCCCGCAACCTCGCTGCCCGCCGCCGCAGGAGACCAAGGCGTTGTTCCTGGAGGCGCAGGCACGGTGGGGCCTGGGGGAGGTGGAGCGGGCTGCGCAGCTGGCGGCAGAGGTGCTTGCGCGCGACCCAGCCCATGGGATGGCGGCAGACCTGGCGGCGGAGATTCGCGGGGCGCAGCCGGGCGCCGGCGGCCCGGCAGGGTTGTGAGGCTAGACCGGGCTGGCGGCCCTGCCCCATCCTTCGCCTAGCTGTGACGTCAACGTCGGCCTGGCTGTAAAGTCCCAAAGGCCTCAATGGCGGAGCGTCTGTTTTACATGGACATATTTGCATGTACAGCCCTTCGCTGGTCTGCTTTACTACTGGTTCCGTCATGACAATGCTGTTTGCTAGCCTGTTGAGATCTAGAATCTATGGACACAGGGCCCTGCCTCCTGCCAATACTACACTATGCATAGCGGCGGCTGCTACCCCTCACGCCGGCGCCACCTCTCGCAGCCGCCAGATGATCTTGTTGGTGGCCGTTTTGCCCGCCTGCTCAAACAGGCCGGGCTGGTCGTGCAACACTTCCTGCAGGGAGGAGGAGAGGAGGATGCTTAGGAGGACAGGAGAGGTTTATGCAACTCAGCTGCTTGTCCTCCAGTTGACAGTCAGCTGATGCAGGCACAGCAGTTGCCAGCTGTCCAACACGCAGCCACCGCGCTCTGGACCCCATCGCTCACCCGTACCGCCGTCTTCCAGCGAACCGCCCCTTTCACGCGGTACTTGTCCAGGCACGAGGCGTGGTCCCGCTTAAGCACCCGCTGCACATCAAAGATGGTGCCCTGCCTGCACAGGGAGTGGGACAGCGCAGTGTGGGAGGTACGGAGCGTCATTGCTGGCAGGAGAGAGCAGCCTCTACGAGCCAGCTGGCCTGTTTTCTTCAACCGAACAACCAGCACATGCGGTTGCGTCAGCGCAGTGCCTGCCTCTGCACTCGCCTGTCGGGCAGCGACGCCAGCGCTGCCTGCACCAGGTCCACATAGCTGGCACCCTTGCGGCCCTCGTGGCGCGCCTGCTTCATCAGCCGCACCACGGCGTAGTACTGATGCCGCACCGCCGTACCGCCCCGGCTGTACCTGCAGCAGCAGCGACAGCACCAGCGGCAGCTCGGGTGCATCTGATTCCTTAGACCAATACCAAGTGCACATGCACCACCTGCAGTCCACACAGTAGCTCGCAAGGAGCCAGCAGCTGCCGCCCTACGAACCTGCCAAAGTGCCGCGAGATGAGCTCCCAGTCCAGCTCCCCATCAGGTGGGTGCCTCGGGATGGTCTGCACCAGGAAGGCGCGGTCCTCTGCCAGGCGCGCCAGGGTCGAGATGTCCGCTTTGCTCCAGGCGCGCCCCAGGCTGGCTGTGTCCCCAGGGTCGCCCCCTGGGCCTGGGGCTGCAGCTGCGTCTGCTGCTGCTTCGCCTAGTTCTGCTGCCTGGCTAGCTTGGGCCTGCTGCTGGGGCTGCGCCAGGGGCACTCCCGCTGCCGCCGTTGCCCTCTGCAGCTCTGAAGCTGCCAGCACTCCCAGCACCGCCGCACGCTTGCCCTTCGCGGTCAGTGTCTTGCGCTCCCGCTGCCGCCGCTTGCCGCCGCCACCGCTCTCCTCCCTCCGCCGCTTCCTCGGCTGCTCTGCCTCGCCGGCAGGCGGTGCTGCTTGCAGTGCTGCTGCGGGGTTTGCTGCTGGGGCTGCTGCTGCTGCTATGCCAGCAGCGGGAGCGGTGCTGCGTGGCACAGGGGCCGCTGCCGCTGCTGCTGGGGATAATGTTGCCACACGCTTGCCGCGCTTGGGCGCACGGGCTGGTGAGGGCACGATTACCAGGCTCATCCGCACTGTCTGCGGGTGTTGCCTGGGCGCAGGCTGCTGCTGGGGCAGCGGTGGCGGGGTGGGCTCCCGCTGCTGCTCCTGTGGCGGCGGCGCCTGCGGGCTGCTGGCTGGAGAGTAGAATGCTGGCTCTCCATCATTATCCGCGAGCTTGCGCTTCTTCTTCCTGCGTAGCTTCTTCTTCCTCTCCTTTTGCTGGCCCCTGTGGTGCACCTCCGGCGGCATCACTCGAGGAGGCCGGATTAAGTTCAGGAAGGTCTACGCGACTCAATTGCAGTGGGCTGCTGGCACGAGGATAAAACCAGCTTTGAGTTTTCTCTGCCATGGCACCGCACAGCACAGCACGGCAATGAGAATGTCCGTTTCTGCTCTGCTTCACGAGTGATCAGGCGTTGTAGCATTGCACATCGCCTGCAAGTGGCGCCCCGGCAGCATCTTCACACATGGCCACGGCCCCGTGCCTCCAACGCGCCCCTGCGTGTGCCAGGGCCCGCAGGCATGCATCACAAGCATTAGCCAGAGCGCCCGCCCACCAACAGCAGCCCTGGCGCAGCAGCAGCCGGCGGTGGCAGCGGTGGCGGCGGTGCGCCGCCAGCAGCGGCGCCAGCAGCGGCAGCGGCAGCGAGGGCGAGAGCGTGGACATCGATGCCCTTGCATCTAAGCTGGCAGCAGAAGCGGAGCGCCTGCGGCGCACAGGCAGCTTCGCCAGCGGCGACTATGACGACGGCCCAGCGGGGCCGGCGACTCGGCGGCAGCAGCAGGCGGGCAGCGACGTGCTGCGCCCATTCGGTTACGAGGTGGGAGACGGGCCTTGGGGCCATGCATGCATGGTGGCGCTCAGCGTGGGCACCAGCTGCGCAAGTCTTGTGCCTATGGCGATGGCCGCCGCGGGCTCCCAGTGGCATCCTGTGTCGCCAACTCGCTGGCGATTTGAAAGACATGAATGCCTCTGCCTGTCCTCTCCGGCGTGCCTGCCTCCCTGCCCACTTCGCAGACCAAGAATGCTGAAGCAGAGGTGCTGGCTTCGGTGGGCGAGGGCGGCTTCTTCCCGGAGGAGTTTGAGCTGATGCAGGAGCTGGGCACCATCAACATACAGCAGGCGAGTGTGTTGAGGAGGAGGGCGGCGGCGGCGGGTCAGGCAGCTCCCCAGGCACCTCCCCGTGTGTGTGCATGCGAGGTCCGACTGCTCGCCGCCCACGTGACCTCCGCCTCCCTCATGCTGACTTGCACTGCCCATATGTGCCTGCCTGTACCTTCCAGGTGGCCACCTCTGTGGACCTGGATGACTTCCACATCCCTACCTCGGAGCGCTTCGCCCGCACCGCCGTCATTGCCTACACCGGCACCTTCTACTCCGGCATGCCCTTCCAGGTTGGGAGGCGCCGCCGCTGGGCCGGGCCGGGCAGTCGGATGTGAAGCGCGCAGCCCCGCGTGCCTCTTGCCGGCCGCTTCGGGCTGCGCAGCGCGCGCTGCCAGCGGCTAGCGCGCCAGGGTGCAGGGCTGCATCCATGATCGGTTTCCAATGCCCATCCCCACCCCCATTGCCTGCCCCCCCTGCAGGACCCTGTGGTGGTTTTGATCAAGGAGTATCTGCCTGGGGCCAAGGCGGTGGCCTGCAACGAGCTGCAGGTGCTCAAGCACCTGGCGGGCATGCCGGAGACAACCATGAAGTGAGTCGGAGGGCAGGCCAAGGCTCGTGCTGTGACGAAGGGGAGCTGTCTGTGCCGGATGGGTGAAGCGCACCTCGTTCAGCGCCTGTCACCCCCTGCGCGGCGCGTCATGCTGCCCCACAGCAACGCGCCACCCCTCCCACCACGCCCGCAGGTGGCAGACAGCGGCGGCGGCGCTGGCGCCCAGCCCCCCCGTCGTGCGCCTGCTGGGCTACTTCCTGGCGGGGCAGACGAAGCAGGCGTCGGAGCTGCTGCAGGGAGAGGAGGCTGAGGATGCGATCTGGGTGGTGCTGAAGTGGGAGGGGCTGGCGCCCCTGGCGCTGTACCCCTCGGCGCAGCAGACCAGCGGCATCGGGCTGGGGCGCCTGTTTGGGGCCGCAGACAGCTCCATGTCAGACAGGGCCCGCATGCTCAGGTGGGGACAGTGTGTGTGTGGCTGGTGTGGTGGCGTGGTTGGGTGGCGGGAGGTCGGCTTGGGCTGGTGAAACGGCAGGCAAGATGGCAGCTCAAGCCCCCCCCTTCCGATACCTGCTGGCGCCCCGGCATGCCACGCCAGTGGCTCCGCATCCTCCCCGTCCGCATCCGCATCCCCACCCTGCCCTGTCCTGGCTGGGCCCGGGTGCGCCGCAGGGCCATCGCCCGCGGCGCGCTGCAGGCGCTTGCGTACTGCCATGAGGCGGGGGTGGTGCATGGGGCGCTGGGCTCCGGCTCCGTCATGCTGTCCACTTTTGATGACCGGTCGGCGGCGCGGCTCATCGTCAAGCTGGACAACGTGGGTGGGGCTGCTCGCGTGTGCCTGTTTTGGTGGTGATGGCTTGTGTGTGTGCGCGCGCGCGCGCGCGCGCGTGTGTGTGTGTGTGTGTGTGGTGGTGTAGAAGGCGGTGGGACCGGGCTGCGCAACGAGGTGCCGCTCCTGTGCCCGCTGGCCTTCCCGCAGTTTGGGTTTGCGCGCAAGGTGTCGGTGCCGCGGGAGGGGCAGCGAGCCAGCAAGGGTGGCGATCCTGCGGCGCTCTACCCGCAGCCCGCGCCGCTGGCGACGGACGACACGCCGCTGGCGCTGGGGCAGGTGCGCTGCTGGCTGGGTTGGCGTGGTGGGCAGGGAGGTCTGTTCGCCCCGTGTGTGTGGCATCGTGCGCGTCCTCGTTTGGGAAAGGCATGGGCGCTTCCAAGGCACAGCCAGGCTCACCGGCCACCATCCTGGCTCCCCTGTGCAGCGGGACGACCTGCGGGCGCTGGCGGTGGTGCTGCTGGAGTGCATAGTGTCTGCGCTGGCGCTCAACGGGCCCTCCCAGCTCACCAATGCAGAGTCGCTCCAGGTAGAGGGAGGTCGGGGCATGAGGCAGGTGGTGGCAGGGCCGAGGTTTTGCCAAGTTGGATGGCTCCTCGTGCCCCGCCGGCTTGCCAGCAGCGCCCACCCTGTCTGTCTTGACCCGCCTGTCTTCCTCCTGCAGCGGCTGCTCGGCGAGGTGTTTGTGTGGGGAGTGGATGACTTCAGGTGCGGGCCAGCCTGGCCGCAGCACTCCAGTCTCGTTTCGCAAGCAGCCACGGTGCTCATGGCTGCGCCTGCCTCATGCTGCGCTGTGCCACGCTTGCAGGCAATACTGCCAGGACGAGCCTGACTGGCAGGCGGCAGTGGAGCTGTTGTCGCAGGACGATGGAGCGGGCTGGCAGCTGCTGCAGGAGCTGGTCAGCGGCGGCACCAGTGCAGCCGAGCTGGCGCAGAGCCGCTTCTGTGTGCCCTGAGGGAGGCAGGCAGGCAGCGCGGCACCCCGCTGCATGCCAACACCACTTGGTTGTTTGCCCGGGCATTTACCCACTGAACAGCTCACAGGGATACCAGAGGTTGAATGGGCACAGAGTGAACGAGGTGTGGCGAGCATGAACACTGGGGCCGTACCCAGGGGCGCAGCCCTGGCCTCCCGCTTAAAAGAATGGAGGCAGCATGATCCACCGCCGGGGGTACTTTTCGCGGCCCTCGCGCCCGTCAAACGTCTGCACACGAAGCAGAGCGGCAGGGGAGGTGTGTGCGGGGCCCGAGGTGCTGCTGATCCACCCATCCAGAGACAGCCGCTGCCCTGCAGGACACCCCACCCAACGTAAAGGCGGCGCACCTTGATGAGCCGCTTGTGCTTGCCCAGCGCCCACCGCGCCATCTGGCCAGCACCCACGAGCGTGAACAGGGCTGCCGCCGCCGTCTGTGTGGCCACTGTGAAGCCCACCCAGCCCAGGATCTCAGCCGTGTAGTTGGGGCAGGTGATGAGGTTGAAGAGGAAGCCGCGCGGGATGACGTAGCCCTTGGCGCCCGCGGGGCGCAGGTTGGCCAGGATGACGTGGCACCTGCGGCGCGTGACACGCGGCACCGCAATGGTTTGCCTTGCAGGGTGAAGGAGGCACGCTGGTGGGCTGCCGACGCTGGCTGGGGACGCCCGCCTGCAGGCGAAGGCAGGGCCGCCAACAGCCACCCAGCCTGCCCTGCCCCGCACCTGAAGTTGGCAAACTGGCAGAGCATGCTGAAGGCTAGCGTGGCGTAGGCCTGCTGGGGCGGCGGCGGGGTGTACAGCGGGTGGTTGACAAAATAGGCCACAAAGGCGGCAAAGCCCCAGTAGTAGGAGCAGTTCTTGACCAGGTTGAAGACGGGCATGGTGGCGTGGCTGAACCTGCGAGGCAGCACCGGGGAGGGAGGGAGGGAGGGAGGGAGGGAGGAGCCAGTGAGCGAGGACGGGATGCGACCGTGGCGCCGGGACTGTGGCGGGGGGCAGGCGGAACTGGAACGGCTGCTCCCCGGCAGCACACTGCCCTGACGCTATGTCCGAGCGGCAGCTGCGCCACAGCCCAGGGCCCGGACCGGCAGACTTCAGCAGGGCTCGGCTGCCGGGGCACCCCGGCTGAGCCCACAGCTCCTTGCTGAGGTGGTCCTGCCACCCATGGCTCACTTGTGCACGAAGAAGGTCTCCAGAAGGCGCTTGAGGTAGTGGAAGGTCCAGTACGCCAGCGCCAGCGTCTGCGCCACGCTCTTCTCCCTGTGCCCTTCCCTGCACGTGCGTGGTGGTGGCGGCGGTGTGTGGCTGGTGAACAAGAGGAAGTGAGAGGTGTGTGTGCCATGCAGTGGCAGCAGCGCCACGCCCCCCCCCCCCCCCCCCCCGGCGCGCATGCCTGGAGGCTGCCACTGCTCCCCTCCATGCACCAGCCCCGCGGCAACGCAAGCTGCCTGCGGCAGGCTCACTTGACGCCCGGGTACAGGTACTGCGGCAGGAAGTAGAAGAGAGGATACACCACCAGCGGCCCAAGGTACTCCCAGAAGAAGACGGTGGCGTAGCCGATCTGCAGAGGGGAGTGCTGGGAGAGAGGCGGGGTGAGGTGCGAGGCTTCTGCAAGGCGACTCGGCACGCCGTTCCCCCACACCCAGGCCTTGGCCCAGCGCGGAGGGAGAGAGAGTCGAGCACCTGCGCCCCCAGGTCCTTGAACAGCAGCACCGAGCCGTCTTGCAGGCCATAATCCGACAGCTTCTTGCCCGCGGCCAGCGCCTCGCCCGAGCGCTGCCCCTCGCGCGGCGGCAGCGTGAAGCGCTGGCGGGAGGCGTAGTAGCGGGGCTTCAGCTCCGCGAAGCGCGCCTTCAGGTCATCCACGGTGGCCTGCAGGAGGGGTGGGCGGGTGCAGGGAGGCTCAGCGGCCGGCTGCCAAAAACCATGGGCTGGCGTGGGGCTGGGCGATCGCTGCATGGCAATCAACCCACATCGGAGGGCACCAGCAGGCCGTCTGGCAGCAGCTCCCGCCCTGTCCTGCTCTTCACGCTCAGTTTGATCGCGCCCATGGTTTGTGTCGAGTCCCGCCTGCAAACTCGCCCCTGCTCACGAGCTACCACTGATCGTTGATGGCGATGCACGGGATATTTGCGTGTCCTGCTGCTGTGCCTGAAATGCGCTGGATTGCTTGACTGCCGCAGCGCCCAGAGGAACACCTGCACAATCAACCATACCACCACCGCCCCGTCCCACCACAGAACTTGCAAGGCGGGAGAGGGCTGCCACGATGTCGGCCTGTGTCGCAGCGGCGCAGAGCACACTGCTTGCGGCGGCCCAGTGCCAGCAGGCAACACAGCAGCGGAATGTGCGTGCCACGGCTTCGGTGGGCGCCGCCAAGCGCATGCTTCTGCCCAAGCACCGCCACAACATAGGCATGAGCCGCAGCAGCAGCCGCAGCCTCGTGGTGGCCGCAGCCGCACAAGCCGAGGTGAGCCGGGCTGCTTCCAGGCTGCGCTGGCAGTGCAAAGCGGCCACCGCGGTGCCGCCCGGGCCGCCGTCCAGACCGGAGCCGCAGAGTGCCCTGCGGAGAGCTGCCACTGCTGTGGCCAGCCTGCGGTGGTTCGCGAACTGAAGCCGTGGCCTGCCGCTGTGCTGGATCAGGGCGTGGGCAAGCTGATCAGCAAGGTGGAGATCCCCGCCTTCATCCCGCGCTCCGACCTGGTCGACCAGCTGCTGCGGTGGGCCATGATCGAGATCCAGGAGAACGGCGTGGCCAACGTGTCCACCCCCTGCAAGGTGCAGCCTGCGCATGGGGTGACGCTGCGTGTCATCCCTACCGCCGCCTGGCTTGCCAGCTCATTGGCGGGCCTCTGGAGACGAACTCGGTGTGTCGTTGCTGCTGTCGCAATCCAGCCGTGCCCTCCCTGCCGCCCTGCAGGTGAGCGTGTTCAAGCGGGGCGACGACTTGTGGGGCTTCACCGTCTCCTTCCTCAAGGACGGCGTCAGCGCCGCCGACGTGCGGGTGGCGTTTGACGAGGAGACCACCCAGAAGCACGACTGGGTGGGCCGGGGCGCAGGTTTGTTGCCACGTGAGCCTCACGCCCGCCGCGGCGGGGCCTGGGGTGCAGGCCTGCTCCCATCGCTCGACCGTGCTGCCATGCGTGGGCTGCCCTGTCCTGCATCGCACATGGTGCGGGCACCTGCCCTCACCTTGCCTGCCCTCGCCTGCCCTCGCCCCTGCCCGCAGACGGCATGCCCGTGATGGAGGGCAACGCGGAGGAGATCATGGGCAAGCACTTTGAGATCCGCAAGGTGTGCGACCGCGCCATCAACGACAACCAGCGCGAATCCATCCGCGACTTCTGCAACCTGCTGGTGGGTGGGGCGTGCGCGGCGGGGCCCTCGGTCGCAGCCTGTGGGCTGCACCCGGCTGCTGCCAGAGCGCGGGGCCCGGCCAGCAGCCTGTGCGCGGGCGGGCGGGCGCTGCCGGCGGGCTGTGCTTTCCTCAGCTGCTGCCGGCACTGCCAGGCCCTTGACAGCAGATGTGGCCCGACGCCATGTAGAAAACTAGCCTGCATTGCCCCAAACGCATGCCTGTAGGTCTCGGCGATCAACAAATACTACGCTTTCGGGTCTTGCTTCAGTGAAGATAGCACTTGACCTCCGGCATGCCTTAACAGGATACGTATGGACTGTAATGCACTACTTTGAGCCAACAGGAGAGCAGCGCCGTTTGGGCCGCCACGCGGATGCCAGCCTGGCCCCGTTCCCCCTCCATGGGTGGATCCTGCGCCCTGAACATACCCCGGGCGCCATGTTCAGGGCAACCCCGGCAGCAACCCAGGCAGCAGCACAGCAGGAGCAGCAGCATCCCTCAAGATCTGCCACCGGGCGGAGCGCAGCTCCATGGCGGCCGCGCCCCGCACCGAGGCCTTGCCGCCTCGCTCGTCTGCGGGGTCAGGGGCAGGGGTGTGTGGGCGTGGTTTCCAAGCTCCCCAGACCTCACCAAGGCCTTGTTGGAAGTGACTGGCAGCTCGCTGCTTCGGGAAGACAGGAGAGCAGGAGAGGCGGTGACGGGCGGTATGCGCTTTCAAGCTGTGCGTCGCTGCCCGCTCGCCTACCTCACCCAGCCGCCGCTCCCTGCTGCTGCCGCCCTGCCCGCTGCATCTGAGTGCTGCCTGCATGCCTCTGTGGATTCAACAGCATCCGGGGGCACGAGTGCAGAGTTTAGCACTCCTGCTCTGTGTGTTCTCTGTTCAGGGGAGCGGTAAAGGGTTACATGGTTCACTTTGGGACGTGCGCGACTCGACGAAATCATGATTGCATGAACAGGACGCTAAATGGGGAACCGCATCAAGAGATGGCAGCCACCTGCGGCAGGCCCTGAGCACCCCTTGCCAACGAGATTTCAGCGGGGGCAAAGTACAATAGAATCCTGTCGGGTGGGAGCTACCAGCTGAGAGGGCTGCAAGAGCTGGAAGATGGCAACAGCTGGCAGCAGGCAAGAGCGCGTCAAGATAAATCGGCAAGGAAGAGGTGTGCTTCTAACCGTGCCCATCCCTGCCCTTGCACGCTGCCCACATACAGGAGCATCCCTGGCAGGGTTGACCAGTCCATGTCAAAAGGAAGGGGACGACGGGTGGCTGCTGTGCCGGCGTCGCCCTGGGCGGGCGGTGTGGCGGGGGAAGGGCTTGGCAGGCCGACAGCCGGCTTCTGACATCTCCGTGATGCTTTGGCGCCCTGATGCAGATTGCATGCTGCCTTCCAAAGGTCCTATTTTTGTCGGAGACCAGAAGGCTCAAGGTGATCTTCATCAGCAGCACCTGCTGCATACATGTAGTGGGCGTGCGAATTCAGCCAAGATGCCAAGAGAGAGAAGCCTCTTTTCATGAGCAGCCCACCTGGCGTCTAGCTGGCAGCCGGGCGCGCCCGGGCATCCAAAGGCCACAGCCTGACATCCCCTTGAACCTAATCCCATGCTGCTGTGCAGGGGGGGTGCACTCCCCGCGGCCTCAGGCCTGAGGGCCCCTCCTCTTTGCTCCAGGCGTTGAGTCCTGCGGGTGTTTAGTCTTGGCCATGCTCGCGTGCCCGGAATCACCCCCGGAGTTTGAGAACGAGGATGCCGCGGTCGAGTTTTACTTGCGGCAGTACGCTGAAATAAAAGCTCGCAGCAAGTGTGTGTCTGCGCAAGCGGCCCAGATAGTTGCCGAACTGGCTGCGGCGCGGCGCGCAGAGGAGGGGCAGCAGAAGGAGGCGGCTCAGGCAGCGGCGGTGGTGGAGGCGCAACTTGAGACGGCAACACCCCCAGAGTTTGAGGACGAGGATGCCGCGGTCGAGTTTTACTTGCGGCACTGCGCTGAAATAGAAGCTAGCAACAAGTCTGTGTCTGCGCATGCGGCCCAGATAATTGCTGAACTGGTTGCGGAGCGGCGCGAGCAGAAGAGGAGAGCAGAAGCAGAAGGAGGCTGCAGCGCGGCGCGCTGCGGAGGAGCAGCAGCTGAAGCTGGCGGCCCACGCAGCGGCGGTGCTGGAGGCGCAGCGTGTGGCGGCGCGCGTGGCCCACAGGCCGGTTCTGGGTGAGTGGATGTAGGACAGGGTGCCTGTCTGGCGCCGTGGGCTTGATTGTTGAAATGCCGTTGGCGGCACAGTCCATCCTCCGTGCGCACTCTGACGGGCGTATTTATCATAACTGACAACCTGGTTGGATTGCTGCTGGGACGCACGCACTTCCCCACTGAAACCGCCAGCGCTCGCTGGCCACCTGCCCAACTGGCCAGCCGTCGACGAGCGCAAGAAGAAGCAGTGACGCTCTGCCAACCAGGGGATTGAGCCAACCAGGCCGTTGCGAGGGGCGTGGTGGGCAGGGTGGCACAGCGAACATCGCGAGTGGAGCTGAGGCCCGCAGCTGTTACCTCAGCTGGTTCGGCGTATGGTGCACCATGGATGCGCTCAGGGGCATGTTACGATGGTTTTTGCCCCTCCTTGCCTCACTGCCCCCCAACCAGTTTTCTGGCACACCATTCCTCGCTCTGTTTCCCTGCCATTGCGCGCCCACATTATAACGTTCCTTGCCAGGCACACCCAGGATTTGTGCGCCGATATTCTGCCGCATTGGTGCTACACGGCCTGTTAGCGTTGTTCACAAGCTTCACTTCCCGGTTTTAACGTCTAGCTTTAGACCATTATTTGATCTGCCCGACGCGCCAAGTGCAGTACCCCCCACTAGTAGTGAATGGGTCCCGGGGAGGCCTGTGCCGAAGCCTTGGCGATTCTATTAGGCGTTCCCGAAGGAATTGGCTTGGATTGGCGCTGAGCCGGTCAGCTATGCCGCGTTTGTCCTCACAAAGTTTCGACATGGGAGGAATCGAACCTGTGCCCTCTCGGAGGGTTTAGACACTAGCTCCAGCGCCTTCAAAGAAGGCCTTTCTTAGCCGCGGCCTAAAGGTAAAGGTGGGGAAGAGCCTCCACAAGCTTCACTTCCCGGTTTTAACGTCTAGCTTTAGACCATTATTTGATCTGCCCGACGCGCCAAGTGCAGTACCCCCCACTAGTAGTGAATGGGTCCCGGGGAGGCCTGTGAAAGGTAAAGGTAAAGGTAAAGGTGGGGAAGAGCCTCCACAAGCTTAACTTCCCGGTTTTAACGTCTAGCTTTAGACCATTATTTGATCTGCCCGACGCGCCAAGTGCAGTACCCCCCACTAGTAGTGAATGGGTCCCGGGGAGGCCTGTGCCGAAGCCTTGGCGATTCTATTAGGCGTTCCCGAAGGAATTGGCTTGGATTGGCGCTGAGCCGGTCAGCTATGCCGCGTTTGTCCTCACAAAGTTTCGACATGGGAGGAATCGAACCTGTGCCCTCTCGGAGGGTTTAGACACTAGCTCCAGCGCCTTCAAAGAAGGCCTTTCTTAGCCGCGGCCTGTTCAGCTAATTTGATTTCATGCCTGCATGTGCGATGCCTTGAAAATGGGCAATCCACCCTTAACAAAAAGGGTCCGTCGTTGGCCGCGACGTTAAATAAGGAGCTGGATGAGTGCCGGTGGGTGATACCACAGGCACGAGTTCGAACCCCAGCCGGGACACTAGCTGGGACTTTGCCTCACGGCACCTTCGTGGCGGCATCTGGGCGGCGGACGGCTGCCCGGCAGACCGGCATGGCGCTTGCAAGACGGAGCCTCCCCGGGATGCCATCGGCGGCCAGATTTTCCTCGCTCTGGACAGCCGGCAGGGTTAGTGGGTTCGGCCCCAGCACATTAATGTGCCCAATCCCTGTAACACACACACACACACAAAAAGCCCATCAACCCAGGATGCCAGCCGACCGCACAGCCTGCTTCGTGTGGGCTCCCAGGCGGCGATTACTCCTGCAATACATTGAGCATCAACAAGCAGGGGTGTAAAGGGGGTGAAGTGATAAGTGCGGCCTGATTGGCATCCAGCCCTGCATCCCCACCGACCGTGTCGCCAGCCAGGAGGCGGTCGCATGGTAGCTCATCGCTGTTTTGAAACAGGGAGTGCAGGCCCATCCCCCTGTGAATCGCGTCCCTGTCGCCCCTGCCGTGCAGCGGCAGTGAGGGCAGCTGGAAGCCACCGCCGTCTGCTGACTTCGCTCCTCCCAGCCTGGGCGCTCTGCCGGGTGTAAGAAGAGTGCTGGTGCAGCCCCACATGGAGACCTCCCCCCCCAAAAGGGTACCGCATAGCCGCTCCCTGCTGCCGCCTGGTGCCGCTGCCGTCGCCGCCTTGGTCGCCGCTCCATCCTCTGCTCCTGCTGGCGGGGCCAGGCTGGGGAGGCGGCCTGGGGTGCAAGGTGGCTGCTGGCCTCCCGGCTGTTTATGTGCCGGGCCTGCAGAGCCGCAGGGCCTGATACCAGTGGGTTGTGGGCGGCAGCATTGCAGGGCTCGCCGGCGCCGAGCTGCCGCACCGCTACTTCTCCTGCTGCATCAGCCTCATCAGACGTCACTGTGGAGGGAGTGCTCCTCGCGCTGCTGATTTCCCAAGGTGCTGCGCTGGCGGCAAAGATGCGGCGGCACATGACAGCCCCCACCGCCGCCCGGGGCTTATGCCGCATGCTGCGCTGCAGATGGCGACCCTTTCTGGCGCTGCTGGGGCTGCAGGGGAAGCTGGAGTCCAGTGGCCGGAGCAGATGGCGTGGGCATGGCGTTGCTTAGTTGTGTGGAAGGGCTGCTGCAGGGAGAGCAGGGCTTCAAAGCTCTGCCGAGGGCAGTCTGCCAACCGGTTCGGCAGCGGGGTCACGGATGGAACAAGCTGAGCAGCTCAGCCACTCGATGCGCCACGCAGGCGGCCGCTTCACCGTCGCGCCGCTGCCCTCCCGCTGCGCGTGGGTCATCGCGTGGACGCTCTGCTTGGTGGCGCTTCCCCATTCGCCCTGCCTTCGTACCTGCGTGCGTTGGTAGCGTAGGCGTGAGATGGACGGAAGGGGAGAGTGAGCTGCAAGCATGCAGTCTTCGCTGAAGGCGGCGGCGGCGGCAAGTAACGCGGCGAGCGTGCAGCCCCGGCCTGCTTCCTTGCCTCTGCATTTGTTTTCTGTGTACTGATATCACATGGTAGCTACACACACATTATTGAAACAACCACATGCCCCAAAAGCCCAAACAGGCAAGACCAAGGACCGAAACCAGGGGGCACATGAACAGCTGGCTATACAACACCGGGGGCGGTGTGCAGGAGAGCTAGGGACACCGTTTAGGGAGGAGCCTGTGGCTCATGGCTGGCGGCGGCAGTGGCAAGGTGCTGCGGCCTTAACGAGGCACTGCCGCTGCCTCTGGAAAAGAGGCAAAGCTTCCTCTGGAAAAGAGGTAAGCAAGGGCTGGGCACAACTGTGCTGCCGGCCTCGCTGTGGCAGGTGCACCTCAGCCCGAGCTGAGGCGCTGCGATGCGGGCGGCGAGACCTCTTCCCAAAGCACGTCACGCTCTCACACATTGACGTGGATGCAGGCGCCGGTAGCGGGGTCCTGCTGGTACCTGGGCGTATCGCCGGGTCCAGGATAGCATGAGGTGCAGTTCTGCGTGCGGAAGGGGTGGGGCGGGATGAGCGACAGGGTGAGCAACTGAGTGGCCACACCGGGCACGCTCAGCTGTGCGCGGGTGGCGGTCAGTTCACGCACCTTGGGGGTGCCCTCGCATGAAACGCAGCCGCCGCTACTGAGGGCAAACGCGTTGCCATTCTCGCATGGCTTGCAAGAGCCGTCTTTTATCTTGCCGCTGCCAATCATGCAAAAGCGGCACGGCCCAGAATTCGTGTCGCACTCGAGGCAGCCGGGGCGGCACTTCAGGCACCGCTTCCTGTTCGTCAGGCCGTAGCCCTGGCTTGACATTGATCCTTGAGAGCCGGGAGCATACACCTTGCATGCTGTGGGCGATGCATACGTCTTGCAGTGGGGGATGGTGCCCTGGGGGGCGGGCCGGCGGGGGTGGGGGGCCCGGGGTCAGAGGCAGCAGCGATAGTGCGGAGGCTGATGGGCAGCGCTGGGTCGGCGACAGCGCTTGGCCCACACCCTGCCTCCAATCTCAAGACAGCCTGTAACCATGGCCAAGCGCTGCCCTGGCCAGTCCCTGCCCGGCGCACCCACCTTGACGCACGCCTGCCTAGCATTGCGGAAGTAGCCGTCGGCGCACTCCTTGCAGATGCCTGTCTTTGCATCGCATCCCAGCGGCTGCCCCTGTTCATCATTCTCGCGGCAGCCGGAGCATGGAACACACTTGCCCTTCACCAGGCGGTAGGACGCCTCGCAGGCGGTGCATTTCGTCACGTCGCCGTCGCAGCGTGCACAACCTGGGAGCTTGCACTGCGGCAGGAGGCAGGGGGCTGTGTGCCAAGCTCGCTGTGCAGAGCAGACAGCGCTGGGGCAGCTGCAGCCTAGCGGCACCACTCGCAGCAGTTGCGGCCGCTGCACTAGTGCCCGCTCACCTCCTTACATTTGTTGCCCACAAGCCCCATCCACGAGTAGCACTCACGGCACTTGCTTATGTTGCCGCTACAGTCGGCACAGCCACTCACTTTACACTGCGAGGGGGCAGGCAGGGGAAGGGTTTGGGGTGGCTGGCGCTCTGGGGCGGCAGGCCGTCGTGACTCCACGGCCTGGCAAAGCCGCTCCCAACCGCTCCCCAGCACCGCACCCGGCTTGCACTGGTTGCCCGACCGGGCGGTCCCATCGGCACAGGCTGTGCACCCTTTCGAATTGATCAGGCAGGTGAAGTTGGCATCCCGCCCGCATGACAGGTCTTCGCACTGATGCATGGGTGTGGTGGCAGCAGGTGGCCGCAGGTCAGCGCCACCAAGGAGACAGGCAGGGGCCCGGGGCCATGCAGCTGCACACAGCAGAGCCACAGACGTAGGCCCGCACACAGTTGCACGGCAGCGGTCAGCCCTACATAAACACAGCGGTTGCCAATCTTGTAGAGGTTGTCCCAGCACTGCTGGCATTTCCCGTCGGCTGAGCAGACTCGGCAACCGGTCACGGCGCACTGAAGCGTGCATGGGGCGAGCGCAAGCGAGCGGGAGGGCTGGCGTGGATGCCAGGGCTGGATGGCAGACTGGGTGGGGTTGCGGCGGCGGCTAACACATGCACAGCAGCATGCAAGCATCCAGATGGCGGCAGCGGCAGGCAGCGGCAAAACGCTTCCCAACAGCGCTCACCCGAGCGCAGGTGCCAGTCTTGGTCAGAAAGAAGCCGTCAGCGCAGGTGTTGCAGCGCCTATAGTCCTCGGCACAGCGCCAGCAGACTGACGTCTTGCACTGCAGCATGGAGGGAACAGGAACGGCGGAGTGTAGCGTGCCTTGCTTGGTTGCTTGCCTCAGATGGGACAGCAGCGAGCATGTCCCGGCGGCGGCGGCAACAGCGGCGGCGGCTGTGCAGGCAGCATGCGAGCCGGCTGTGCAGCTGGCGCGCCTGAACGCATGCACCCTTCTTGAGACCCTTGGTGGGCGGGCACTGCAGTGACAGGAGGGGGAGCAGGGAGGTAAGAGGGTGCCCAGCCCACGTCCATTCATTCATTCAGCACACAGACCGGCCGCCTCTTGCTCGAGGGCGGCCCACTTTGGCCTGGGCAGCCCGGGCCGCCCTCCCCCCCGGGCGCATGTTCGGTGTTGGAGGGGTGTGCCCAGCGATAGGGGGCCCCTGAAGGCATGCGCCGAGGCCGGGAAGCGTGGTTCGGCGCTGCTGCACGCTTGGCGATTTGAACAGAACCACGTGCCGCCGAGCTGCGGCCGCAGTTTCCGGCCCACGGTCTACGGTCGCAGCCACGGGACTCGGCGGCACGGCGTTTGGGCCCAAGCTTGCTGCCGCCGCCGCCGTGCCCGGGGGGCAGCGCGGCGGCGGCGGGGGCACGCTGCGACGCCCCCGTGCTGCCGAGTTGCGGCCGTAGTTTCCTGCCAGAAGCCCACGGCCACAGCCACGGGACTCGGCGGCACGGCGTTTCGGTCCACGGCTTGCTGCCGCCGCCGTCGCAGGGGTGCTGCCTGCGGCGGCGGCGGCACGGCGTTTGGGTCCACGGCTTGCTGCCGCTGCCGCCGCCGCAGGGGTGCTGCCTGCGGCGGCGGCGGTAGCGCACGTGGCAACCCCCCGCGTTTCCTTGCCTCCCATCCACCGGACCCCGTCCTGCGC